GAAATCACTTGGCTTTGAAGCAAAAAACATGTTGATGTCCTCTTTAACATGTTCCACGTTTGCATATGTTTTCCCATTAAGATGGTGTTGCAGCAAACAAAAAAATGGTAACCTGATGGTGCCATATCTGGAAAGGGTTGGGAAGTTCTCCCCCACCCACCATAATCTCCATAATCTTGTGTTGCGTCAAATGTGCCACATGTGGATGTGCATTATCATGGAGAATTCCCAACCAAACTCCATAATCTTGTGTTGCATCAAACGTGCCACATGTGGACATACATTATCTTGGAGAAGATGAACACCTTTCTGATTGATGAGTGAAGGGCGTTTCTGATGAAGGGCTTGATTTAAATGTTCCAGTTGCTGATTATAGATCTCTGCATTGACAGTTCACTGTGGATTGAGGTATTCGAAATGAATTACTCCTTCAATGTCTCACCAGATGCAAAGCATCACTTTCTGCGGATGGAGTCCAAGTTTTGTTTTTTCTAGGACTGAACAATTGTTTTGGGTGTTTAATATTCACACAGAGAATCCATTTTTCATCACCAGCGACAATTCTTTCCAAAAATGGTTCACTTGCATTATGCACCAGAAGAGACGAAGCAATGTTCACATGTTGGAAATGATGATCATCAGAGAGTTTGTGAGGCACCCAAACACCTTCTTTAAGGAGTTTTCCCATATACCTTATATGTTTACATATTGTTTCATGAGAGACATACAATTTCAGGGCCATTTCTCGAGTGTGTTGCCTTGCGTTAGACTCAACAAGCGTCTTCAGATCACCAATATCAATTCCAACACGTCGGCTCCTGCCATCAGAGTTTTTAAGGCTAAAGCCACCTGAACGAAATTTGCTGAACCATTGTTGACCTTTACAAACATTCAAAACATTTCCATAAACTTCTTTGATATTCTTTGTGGCAACAGAGGGATTGTTTCCCTTCTTGTATTCAAATAGCATTACATGCTAAATGTGTGTGTCTCGTCATGTGCCTTCACTATAATGGATTAGTGTATACTAAACTTTACACATTATATAGACTACACTAATGTGATGTTTAGGCAATTCGTTTAACTATTATACGTGATGTATATTTTTGGGGGGTCGTTAATGAAAGTGTTCCAAAATACGACATTTCTTGATGACTTAATATCAAAGCAAGGAGACAAGGGAGAAGATGATGAGGAGGGTTGGTCTACAGAAAAAGGCAAGTCCAGTCCTGGCTGAAAGCATTAACTGCCAGGGCCAAGGAATGAGGTACTGGGGATCAGAAGAGGGGAAGTTTGACATTGAGAGAAGTTCTGAAAGCATCAATGAGATGTGTGCCCAACTGAGAGCAAACTCCATGAAGAACCTGAGGGGGAAGAGACCAGTCTGTGGGTTTAATCCCTTTTGGCTAAGAGACATGATCTACCACCAGGTTCAGAGTCCTCAGCATGTGACAAGCCATGAGATGAATTCGATGGGAATGAGCCCAAAATGGCATGTCCAAAGTGGTTTGGTTTGTTATGAATTTCGCACACAGCTACACGAGGGCTATCTGCACTAGCCGTCCCTAATTTAGCAGTGTAAAACTAGCGGGAAGGCAGCTAGTCATCACCACCCACTGCCAACTCTTGGGTTACTCTTTTACTATCGAATAGTGGGATTGGCTGCAACATTATAATGCCCCCATGGATGAAAGAGTGAGCATGTTTGGTGTGATGAGGATTCAAACTCGCGACCCACAGATTACAAGTCGAGCACCCTAACCACCTGGCCATGCCAGGCCATCCAAAGTGTGGATGCAGAGAGTCCTGGAAAGGTAAAGCCCTTGCTAGGTAATATAAGAAATGATTATGGAATTGTCAGAGTTGACCATTATTAACTGATCCATAAATGTAGGAAGAAATGGAAACATGCCTGATGAAATGTGAGACTTTGAGTATGTTGATGTGGGGTGAATGCTCCTCTGATGCCCACATGCTTGATGTAATGTCATCATTCAGAAATATGCCCCAGCCTGACAGAAAAATGTGTGAAGAGATGGAGATCCAGTTGGGGTGCCAGCAAGGGGATGCCTGATGTATTATTGGCACAATCAAAGAAAGGCATCAAGAAAGGCTTGACAATCCAGCCCAGCCGAGCAGCCTCCCACAGAAGAATGCAGGTATGAGAGAATGACCCCCTTCCAATGGAACCTCAGCCTGAACTGGAAAAATCCAATATGCAAAAATATACTATGGTAATAGTTAATTGACATTAATATTGTTGAGATCTTAACTGGATTGTTGTAGACTCCAGCAAACGTCAAAAAGCTTTAATGATAATTAATAGCACAAACAAATAAAACACTGAAACCCAATTCTTCTTTTGGGTACTATATGTTAGTGTAAGGAGATTTGGTTGATTTTCATTTATTTTTGAAAAAAATGTAGGGAGGTTTGCACCCTTCTAGATCTGTACATACTTATAAAAATTTTAAGCAATAATGTTATTAATTTCTGAAAAAAAAAAGAAGGCTGGTGGTCAGGTCCCCTGGACCCCTCCTCTAGATCCATGGCTGCTTATGCAACATTACAGAATACAGTTATTAATTTTTGGAAAAAAATGGATGGGAAGGGTTCTGGACCCTACCTGTAGATTAAAATCTGCGTATAAAGTTATGCAACTATAAATGGGAAACAATCACTTACTGGCTACTAAAAAGGGATTTTTGTATGGTTTTGTGTATTAACCCCTATCTTGTTTCTGTACTTTTTGGCACTGCCATCCATAAATCACACTTAGTAGCTTTGCAATAAAAAAGGCAAGTCAAGCAAGTTTAGTGGCAATGGGAATTGAACCTAAGACCCTCAAATCACGAAGCACAGTACTTTTACATGTACATTTTTAACCTTGATTAAACCCTACAATACATATATGAGGAAATAATCTTAGTGTGTATATATATATATTCACCATGTTTTCATCAAAAATGTTCATAAAATCTGGTAATGAATGATTGTAAGTACATTGATGAATAAAACACAAACATTATTTTTCAAATCTACATATTCAATGTAAGACTTGTACCTACCAAACATAAAACACTAAGACAATTGAGAAAAACTTCTCTCTCAAGGCACTCATCATCTGTCTCTCTTGCTGTGTAAATCTTCCCAGCAGGCTACTCACCAACTGTATTGCTGTAACATGCCTTTAACACATTAAATATAGAAAATCTGTCTTCTTTTATTAAGCTAGCTAAACATAAATTTCAAAAATATATCAAAGTTGAAAATGAAATACAAAATATTTACATCAAATACAATTCAACAGCATAAAATTTACAATGCTGTTTCAAACCGCAAGACAAATAAATAATTAAATAAGAAAATAAAAATGTGAAAGAACTAAAGTAATCCTATTTTTCACATAATGCTATGATATGCATTTAGAAATGTTATCAATTAATTTATTATATTAATTAATACTAAGTAATGGCAAAGTGAGCACTGTTACTTTGTCAACACACAGAGTTGAGTACATTATGTAAAAATGATTTTGTAGCCTCACAACATTGTTACAGTCTATGCTGCCATGCCAGGCCATAATATAATATTTGGGACAACACGGGACCTATTGGTCCATCTCGGGTGTTCCATCCTCAAAACTAAATTAAAATGATAAAAAAAAACAATAAAATTTTAAACCCACTCCTTTCCATTCATATATATTTCAAGCTTTTTCTTATACTCACTTAAATTTACTGCCTCTACAACATCTGAAGGCAACCCATTCCAAAAGCCAACCACCCTGTTAGTAAAATGAAACTGTCTTAGTTGAGGATGACTCCTAGCTTGCCGAAATTTATATTTGTGTCCCCTAGTCCTACTATTCTCATTGTTAAATATAAAAAAAGATGATACACCAAAATTATCAATTCCCTTTACGATCTTAAACATCTCAATCAGACCCCCCCCCCCAACCTTTCTTTTGTCAAGAGAAAACAATTTGAGATATTTCAACCTTTTGTTGTATGACAACCCCTCCATCCCAGGCACCAATATAGTAACCCTTTTCTGAACCCTTTCCAACAATTCAATGTCTTTCCTAAGGTAAGGAGCCCAAGACTGAACACAATATTCCAAATGTGTCCTAACCAGTGACCTGTACAATGAAAGTATAGCCTCTTTAGATTTGTATTCAATATTTCTATAGCTACAATCTAAAATCCTATTTGCACTACCACTAGCAACAGCACACTGCTTGGATGGTTTTAGAGACTGATCGACTATTACACGAAGACCCCTTTCCTTCATAACACTATTAAGGTTATTCCCATCCCTTTTTGTAAATCAGCAGCATCCTCTTCACAGCTAGCAACACCCAAGACCTTAATATCATCTGCAAATTTAAGTAATTTATTGATTATCCCTTCATCTATGTCACTGATGTATATCAAAAAGAGCAAAGGTCCTCAGACCCATTTGTGACATTAATCCAGTTTGACCGAACTCCATTTGTAACAACCCACTGCTTTCTTCCATCCAACCACTCTTCTATCCAATTTGTTAACTTATCCCCTACACCTAGAGAGCTAATTTTTTTTTTACAAGCCTTTAATGTAGCACTTTGTAAAATGCTTTCTGAAAATCCATATACACCAAATCTACACCCTTACCCCCATTTACATATGCAGTAACCTTTTCTAATAATGTTAAAAGATTTGTAAGGCAAGATTTTCCCTTAGTAAAACCATGTTAATTATCCAATAAAATTCTAAACTTTGTTAAATGACTTTGGAAAGTATCTTTTAACAGACTTTCCAAATTTTTTCCCACAACTGATGTAAGACTAATGGGTCTATAATTACTGGGACAATTTTATCACCTCCCTTGAAAAGAGGAGTTGCATTAGCTAACTTCCAATCCTTTAGTACCTGCCCACTATTCAAAGAATGACAAAAAACTGTAGTAAGTGGCTCATATATCCAATCTTTAACCTCTATCAGAACCCTTGGGGAAGTATTAACTGACCCAGGAGCCTTATCATTTTCTAAACTTCCCAATTTTTTCCTAACCAGCTCAGAATTAATGCAGTCATTTTGTTTGATCTCATTTCCATTTATCAAATAATCAAGATGTGGAATACTGCTTAAATCTTCATTATTG